GGCTTCATCAGTCCATACAAAGGATAATCTTGAAGAACCGGAGGAGAATGAGGTAATCAGTCCCTCAGCCTTCAGTCGATGTGGTCAGTCCATCAATGTTGAATAGAATACGGCATAAGTGCAGAGAAGGAGCTTATAAACCGTATGGCAGGAGAGGTGCAGCAGTCTCAGGTGTTGTCACATCAACAATTATCTGTAACTGAAAAGTGCCGAGAGATTTTCGTAATTAATCATAGCAAAACACTTTTTTTGAGAGACAAGGATGCCTTTTGGACTCTTAGCATCTCCAAGAATTTGGATGCAGTTGATTTAGATGACATATTGTTATTGGGTCACAAAAGATGAGAACTTAATGACTGGTGAAATTGTAATGACGATTGCAAACAAACCATACCACGGGTGGGGTTAGAACCCACGATCAGAGGGTCACAAAACTCCAGACCATCACTTTTTTTTTTTTTTTTTTTGAGAACCTAATTTAAGAGTTAGACATGCGTTAGATTTTACAGAATCATAAGTATTATTGTTGGAAACTAATTCCATTGGGTTCTTCAGGCATTACAATTCAGGTGAAGGCATTAAATAATACCAGTATTAACATATACGTCAGTAAATGAACATAAGAACATGTTGAACATTAAAATGGTTTAAAATACCGACAGGTTGTTAGGTAAGACACATATGCAACAGTTAGGTATCTTTATTATGAAACGTTTCGCCTACACAGTAGGCTTCTTCAGTCAAGTACAGAAAAGTTGATAGAAGCAGAAGATACTTGAAGACGATGTAATCAGTCCATCACCCTTAAAGTTTTGAGGTGGTCAGTCCCTCAGTCTGGAGAAGAGCATTGTTCCATAGTATGAAACAATATGGAGATGAAGTGACAGGATGGAGCTTTTTATAGCGCCAAGAGGTGAGACGTAGGCCACTAGGAGAGGTAAGAACTCAGATGTTGAGAGTCAGGTCCCTCTCAAATCCAGCCGCTCTCACTAGTGGAAGTTGTCGAAGTTGATTGCAGGTCTGTACCAAGATACCCTTGTGTTGCAGTGTCTGACAGATTGAACATTAAAATGGTATAAAATACCGACAGGTTGTTAGGTAAGACACATATGCAACAGTTAGGTATCTTTATTATGAAACGTTTCGCCTACACAGTAGGCTTCTTCAGTCAAGTACAGAAAAGTTGATAGAAGCAGAAGATACTTGAAGACGATGTAATCAGTCCATCAGTGAGAGCGGCTGGATTTGAGAGGGACCTGACCTCTCAGCATCTGAGTTCTTACCTCTCCTAGTGGCCTACGTCTCACCTCTTGGCGCTATAAAAAGCTCCATCCTGTCACTTCATCTCCATATTGTTTCATACTATGGAACAATGCTCTTCTCCAGACTGAGGGACTGACCACCTCAAAACTTTAAGGGTGATGGACTGATTACATCGTCTTCAAGTATCTTCTGCTTCTATCAACTTTTCTGTACTTGACTGAAGAAGCCTACTGTGTAGGCGAAACGTTTCATAATAAAGATACCTAACTGTTGCATATGTGTCTTACCTAACAACATAAGAACATAAAAAAGGAGGAACACTGCAGCAGGCCTGCTGGCCCATACTCGGCAGGTCCTTTACAATCCATCCCACTAACAAAACATTTGCCCAACCCAATTTTCAATGCTCCCCAAGAAATAAGATCTGATAACTCTATCCACTCATTTGCAAGTCACACTCAAATCCAACCCATCCCACTCATATATTTATCCTACCTAAATCTGAAGCTTCCTAAAGTTGTAACCTCAATAACCCAACTAGGTAGACTGTTCCACTCATCTACTACCCTATTTCCAAACCAATACTTTCCTATGTCCTTTCTAAATCTAAACTTGTCTAATTTAAATCCATTACTGCGGGTTCTCTCTTGGAGAGATATCCTCAAGACCTTATTAATATCCCCTTTATTAATACCTATCTTCCACTTACACACTTCGATCATGTCTCCCCTCATTCTTCGTCTAACAATTGACTGTAATTTAAGAGTCTTCAATCTTTCTTCATAAGGAAGATTTCTAATGCTATGTATTAATTTAGTCATTCTATGCTGAATGTTATCTAACAAATTTATGTCCATTCTGTAATATGGAGACCAGAACTGAGCTGCATAATCTAAGTGAGGCCTTACTAATGATGTATAAAGCTGCAGTATGACCTCTGGACTTCTGTTGCTTACACTTCTTGATATAAATCCCAATAATTTATTTGCCTTATTACGTACGCTTAGGCATTGCTGTCTTGGTTTAAGGTTGCTGCTTTCCATAACCCCCAAGTCCTTTTCACAATCTGTATGGCTAAGTTCTACATTATTTAAGTTATAAGTGCTAGGGTTATGGACACTCCCGAGCTTCAGAACCTTGCATTTATCTACATTGAACTGCATCTGCCACTTTTCTGGCCAAGAACAGAGCATGTCTAAATCCTCCTGAAGTTCCCTAACATCTACGTTTGAATCAATTATCCTACCTATCTTTGTGTTATCCGCGAATTTGCTCATATCACTAGTAATACCCTCATCAAGGTCATTGATATATATTATTAACAACAACGGGCCCAAGACTGATCCCTGTGGTACGCCACTTGTTACAGATCCCCACTCGGATTTAACCCCATTTAAGCATACTCTCTGCTTCCTATTAGTGAGCCACGACTCGATCCATGACAGCACTTTTCCCCCAATGCCATGAGCTGCCACTTTTTTTACAGTCTCTGGTGCGGTACTCTATCAAAAGCATTTTCTATAATGGTGATCTGCTGTTGAATATTTTAAAAAGATGGAGTTTTCTGTAAACAGTCTTCAGTGAAAAAGAAAACTGTTCCAGGTATAAAGGAAGTTTTATTGAATTCTTCCATGATATCCAGTTTTCCAGAGAAACATTCACCAGTTCTTAAAGTTGATATTTTTTATATAAGCTCACATCATGTCTGATCATCCATCAACACTTTTAACTGATGCATTATTCTGCTCCTGGAACTGGTCAGTCGACATGATAGAAAATGCACGTCCTCAAGTTTTCACAACAAATTTGCCTTTTATAAACTATGAACGTTGGGATTCGCTTTGTCAGTGAAACCCTATTACGGAAGTGAACTGGAATCCATCTTGCATACTGAGTGTGTCTCGACGCCAAGAACAATGACACCATCTTGGTCACGTCTTCCACATAAAGCGGAAGTCTCAACCTCGTATCACTTTCACGTAAATCACTAAAATTAGCACCAGCTGCTAGATGGTGATCCAGAACCACAACTGGGGACAAACCTCCCTACTTTCTGTGCATTATTCTTTTCTCAGAATGACGTCTATGTTGCTATCTTCTAAGTCTCCGCAGTATTCAGTATAGGACTGTGGCATAATTACATAGAGACTTGTAGATGAATGGTTCAGAGAACCGACATGTTGATAAATTAGACACATGTGCAACTGAAGAATTGAGACACTTATGCAACATATGGGAATCTTTATTGAAGAAACGTTTCGCCACACAGTGGCTTCATCAGTCCTATACAAAGTAGAAGTGGGTAAGGAGAGTAGAAGTTTGAGGTAATCAGTCCCTCAACCTGGAATCGATGTGTTCAGTCCATCACTCTTGTAGGAAGTGCAGCATAGGGCTGATTACCTCAAACTTCTACTCTCCTTACCCACTTCTACTTTGTATAGGACTGATGAAGCCACTGTGTGGCGAAACGTTTCTTCAATAAAGATTCCCATGTGTTGCATAAGTATCTCAATTCTTCAACTTGTCGGTTTTCAAAACCATTCATCACACATGTGCAACTCTTGGGTATCTTTATTGAGGAAACGTTTCGCCACACAGTGGCTTCATCAGTCCGTACGTAGGAGAAACTTGAAGAACAGGAGGAGAATGAGGTAATCAGTCCCTCAACCTTGAGTCGATGTGTTCAGTCCATCAATCTTGATGGACTGAACAAGTGCTCCCGTCCACCCTCTTTCATCCAGAAGATATCTAAGTAATTTGAGAATTGCCATTTAAATATGCAAACTAACAAACTTTTTGATCCTCGCCATTAATTCTATGCCAGTTCTACTGGATTTTCTCAGCCAGTGAGAGTAGTGGTTGGCACTTGTCGTGGATTAAGGAGCTGAACTACTTAAGTAACAAAGTCCACTGAAAGCAAAAGACTTGGCAGACGATGCACCATCCCCCCAATGAAAAGCAGGGGTGTCACTAGCACGTTAAGAGACCATACAATAAGTGTCAGGGGCCCGAGACTGTTCAGCTGCCTCCCAGCACACATAAGGGGGATTACCAACAGACCCCTGGCAGTCTTCAAGCTGGCACTGGACAAGCACCTAAAGTCAGTTCCTGATCAGCCGGGCTGTGGCTCGTACGTTGGTTTGCGTGCAGCCAGCAGCAACAGCCTGGTTGATCAGGCGCTGATCCACCAGGAGGCCTGGTCACAGACCGGGCCGCGGGGGCGTTGACCCCCGAAACTCTCTCCAGGTAAACTCCAGGAATGGCGAATCCTGGCTACTGTCATGACCAGTCCCAGATACAGGGGAAGTAAGGACGGGATTGTGGCTTCGCTGTTTACTGGAGGCTCTTGATGGCGTGTGTGGTATGCTGTCAAAGAAATAATCGCGCTGTCCAACATGTAATTCAAATACTGTAGCCATCTATATTCCTTCTCCAAGGCTTGTATTGTTAGTTTAAACCTTCTTGCTGTGGCACAGGTTAAAGATGTGTAACAAGAACAGTAGCAGAAATACTACCGCACTTACGTCTTTTGTCTAATATTTTCTGTAATGTTAGTCTCTCCATCCCCAGTTAATTATATCTCACCTTTCCTAGTTTCCCGAGAAACGTAACGCTTATGTGTCCTTAATTTCTTCAGTGACGAATCTCTCATGTGTGAGCTAGTTTCTCTCAGTAATGTATCTCTTGTGTGTGTTAGTGTCTGCCAGTAATGTATCTCTTATGCATGGTGTCGTCAGAACAAGTTGGATCGGTGTCTTAGTAGGAAGACACTGTACCGACGTCTGCCCTTCCTTACCTGGCTCAGGAGCTACAACACAGAATGCCTGATGGGGGACCTGATAGCTGGCTTCACCGTTGGCCTCATGATGATACCCCAGGCGCTGGCTTACGGTCTCGTAGCTGGTCTTCCTCCAAGTGTAAGTTACCTTTTGATTACTCCCTTGTTTATCTTGCCATTATGTCTGGTTTTTCCCCCAGCAACTAATTAAATCCTGTCATCATGTCTGTACTTCCACTCAGCCAATACCAAACTCCTGTTCCCATGTTTACTCTTTTTCCCAGTCACTGTCTTTATCCTGATATTCATGACTACTTTTTCAATTAACCACTTTCTTTATCCTCTGGTATTTTCATGGTGAGGAAGAATGTCTCCTGACGCAGTTAGTTGTCTTACAACTACCAGCAGAGTGGCAAAGCGATGCTTCAATCTATAGATTAGTTTCTCACTTTACAGTAAATCATGATAGCCACACATTACAGTGTAACTAATGGTTAGGTTAGGTAAGGTTCGCCAGGAAACAGGACAAATGTTTCCTGACGCGGGTCTTAGTCAGATGATGACCCGCCTTTGGAGCTTTTGGTCATCTGACCGAGGCCTTCCGCTGGCTTACCGGTCCACCCCTTTAAAAATTATGGTCATTTATAACCATTGTTATATATAATGATTGTGTGTAACTAATGTTGATGTATATAAACACTGTAATGTTGATGTATATAAACACTGTAATGTTGATGTATATAAACACTGTAATGTTGATGTATATAAACACTGTAATGTTGATGTATATAAACATGTAAATTGATTTAGAATATAATCTGTGAAATAACACACAAATTTAGTGTTAAGATGCCAGTAATTTTGAGATGGTAATTAAATTCTGCATTGACGAGTTTGGTAAGAATTGCTGTAATTGTTAGAAATAACTTTATTCATAGTGGTCTGCTGAAATTCATTATGATATCCTGAATTGCCTCTGACGATAAACATTGGGATCACAATTTTTTGCTGCGGCAACAATTTAACTGCCACACCAACATTCTCTCTCTCTCTCTCTTATTGACAACTAATCCGAAAATGAAAAATAGTGGAGAGTTTGGTCTGTCCTGGACCATTATAAGCTCGTGAATTATTTATTTGTTTCAGCCTGGCTACAGTGACTTTTGTTAACTATCATCCTCACACTGTTTCCCCTCCCTCTTCCTCTCTGCTACAGTATGGGCTGTACTCTGCCTTCATTCCCTGCTTCGTATACTTCCTGCTGGGGTCGACCAGTGAGCTCAGTATCGGACCAACAGCCATCATGTCCATCATGACGTACCAGTATAGCGGTCAGGGCGGGGGTGACTATGCTGTTCTCCTCGCCTTTATGGCTGGCATCATAGAACTGGTCGCTGGCATCGTCAACTTAGGTAAGTTCCTCTTTAAAAGACAAAACAAAAGAGTCGTTACACTTGATGGTGTCACATGCACTATGTCCGGCTTGTTCTATAAATTCATATATTTTTTATACTAATTTACAAACCGGAATTAACCTGAAAGAAACGTGAAATGGTGTCTAGAACTAACTTAAATTTCTAGTGAATAGAACTAAGGCACGTTTAGCCTAGGGTCAGGTTCAGCACCAGAGCAACACAGAAATTGGTTAAACTTGCTGACCAGAAACCAGGTGACATTGCAGTATAATGGACAAACGTTCTTGTTGCATAGTACCACCGACCCATGATTCATCACACATCACCGGTCCATGATTCATCACACATCACCGACCCATGATTCATCACACATCACCGGTCCATGATTCATCACACATCACCGGTCCATGATTCATCACACATCACCGACCCATGATTCATCACACATCACCGGTCCATGATTCATCACACATCACCGGTCCATGATTCATCACACATCACCGGTCCATGATTCATCACACATCACCGGTCCATGATTCATCACACATCACCGACCCATGATTCATCACACATCACCGGTCCATGATTCATCACACATCACCGACCCATGATTCATCACACATCACCGGTCCATGATTCATCACACATCACCGACCCATGATTCATCACACATCACCGGTCCATGATTCATCACACATCACCGGTCCATGATTCATCACACATCACCGGTCCATGATTCATCACACATCACCGGTCCATGATTCATCACACATCACCGGTCCATGATTCATCACACATCACCGGTCCATGATTCATCACACATCAACCGGTCCATGATTCATCACACATCACCGGTCCATGATTCATCACACATCACCGTCCATGATTCATCACACATCACCGGTCCATGATTCATCACACATCACCGGTCCATGATTCATCACACATCACCGGTCCATGATTCATCACACATCACCGGTCCATGATTCATCACACATCACCGGTCCATGATTCATCACACATCACCGGTCCATGATTCATCACACATCACCGGTCCATGATTCATCACACATCACCGGTCCATGATTCATCACACATGACTTCACTCATCTCACCTCGAAATGATTTTCATTTTTCAACTATCCTCCCTCCAGAAAACATTTGTATTTACATCTTCTGTATAACTCGGTACACCTCTACATAGAGAAGCAGTGTCCCAATATAAGCTCTTTCTTCAGTGCACAGGTATGGAAGGGTAGTTCCAGTTCCTTATATCAAGTGTTTCACCAGTAACCTCTGATACATGGTCACCTTGGCTTGCTGGCTTTGTCTGAGTGTCTAAGCCTGGCTAAGAACTCATCAACCCATCCCATCTTTTTATTTAGCTTACATTGTTGGCATGTTTATTCCATTTGTTAAATTTTGCTCCTGAGTAATGTGGAAGACTTTGTTGTCTGTTATTTTCCTCGTTACACAACCAGTTGCAATGTTGAGATCTGCAGCACCCAAGGATGGTTAGACCACTAAATGCACCAGCTATGGACCATCAGGTGCACCAGCTGGTGGATCATCAGGTGGCTGTCAGATGGTAGAAGTATTACTGGAGATGTTCTGTCAGGTTGATTCTCGAGCATCACTAGTGAGTAGTTGTATGTCTGGTGCTCCCGGTCTATGACGCAGCTTTCTTAACCTTTGCTCTTTTAATTCTGGTTGATATATCCTGGCCTGTGGCACGTGTAGGGTAGTGGATCATCCTCCACAAAAAGTTGGCACTCCTTGATGTAGATAATGGGACTAGTGCCAGGATAGTTCGTTAATTTTTTTAAGTATCCTCGAAGGGGAAACTTTAAGAGGTTCCTAATTTTTTGTTCCTCTTTTCGTTGCAAGCCTGTTCACGGTGGGCAAGTTTGCAACCTGGTAGTTGCAAACTACCTGTCTTCTGTATCCTGCAATAGTTGTGATTCGGATGATTAAGAGGAAGGTAGATGGTGCTGCGTTGAGCACTAATTCACTGGACCTCACGTTCAGCCAACCGGACCTTCCCCTCTACCCAGATGTTGGGTGGAGAGATTCGGAGAGACCAAAAGTCTGGTCATCAGAGGCTCAAGAATTAGGCAGCCTGAAACACTTGTTGCATGTGTTGACGACGCCAACACTTCCCACTCCACCACACATGACAGGACGTGTGTGGTGGAGAGAGTGACTACGCTGCTGCGCTCTAAGTATCTCGAGAAAACGAGGTTTGGAGAGACGACTAGCATGAACTGCCTCTTGCATCCTGGCTGATCTTATGCAACTATTACTACTAGTCACAGGTTAAAAAAACTCAGTTGTAAAAGGAACTTAATTGAGATATTTCGCCTATGGACAGTCTTATTTGGTCAACTGTGGCTTTTTCTTAGCACCTACTGTCAGCTTTGCATCATTTATCTCCAAGGTATGAGACGCAGGCTGCTCTGGGGTACAGCTCTTACCTTCCCTCGGAGGTTCGTCCTACCGAGTCTTCAAGCAGCCTACAAATGACCAGCACTGCCTGACTACCCGCAGGTTAGTAAGGGCTCTCCTAGGGTATACCCTGAAAGTGAATGTGTTGGGAAGTACCTGAAGGCAGAGGGTGGAGCATCAGCCTTCACTGCTCAGTAGGAACTTTCACTGCTCAGTAGGAACTTTCACTGCTCAGTAGGAGCTTTCACTCCTGCTTGGATTATATCCTCTCGTGTGCCTGGTCAGAGGAACTAGTTACAGAAGCTATTTGATCAACTGCTACCAACTTTTAGAATTGTCCGAACATGTCGTGCTAGATGTTGTTAGGTAAGACACATATGCAACAGTTAGGTATCTTTATTTCGAAACGTTTCGCCTACACAGTAGGCTTCTTCAGTCGAGTACAGAAAAGTTGATAGAAGCAGAAGATACTTGAAGACGATGTAATCAGTCCATCACCCTTAAAGTTTTGAGGTGGTCAGTCCCTCAGTCTGGAGAAGAGCATTGTTCCATAGAATGAAACAATATGGAGATGAAGTGACAGGATGGAGCCTTATATAGCGCCAAGAGGTGAGACGTAGGTCACTAGAAGAGGTAAGAACTCAGATGTTGGGAGGTCAGGTCCCTCTCAAATCCAGCCGTTCTCACTAGTAGAGGTTGTCGAAGTTGATTGTAGGTCTGTACCAAGATACCCTTGTGTTGCAGTGTCTAACTGTTGCATATGTGTCTTACCTAACAACCTGTCGGTATTTTATACCATTTTAAAGTTCATGTCGTGCTAGAGCTGAAGTGAGGTACAGTACCTGGAAGTGATGTACTGGAACAAGTGAGGTACAGTACCTGGAAGTGATGTACTGGAAGAAGTGAGGTACAGTACCTGGAAGTGATGTACTGTAACAAGTGAGGTGCAGTACCTGGAAGTGATGTACTGGAACAAGTGAGGTACAGTACCTGGAAGTGATGTACTGGAACAAGTGAGGTACAGTACCTGGAAGTGATGTACTGGAACAAGTGAGGTGCAGTACCTGGAAGTGATGTACTGGAACAAGTGAGGTGCAGTACCTGGAAGTGATGTACTGGAACAAGTGGAGTACAGTACCTGGAAGTGATGTACTGAAACAAGTGAGGTACAGTACCTGGAAGTGATGCACTGGAACAAGTGAGGTACAGTACCTGGAAGTGATGTACTGGAACAAGTGAGGTACAGTACCTGGAAGTGATGTACTGGAACAAGTGAAGTACAGTACCTGGAAGTGATGTACTGGAACAAGTGAGGTACAGTACCTGGAAGTGATGTACTGGAACAAGTGAGGTGCAGTACCTGGAAGTGATGTACTGGAACAAGTGACGTACAGTACCTGGAAGTGATGTACTGGAACAAGTGAGGTACAGTACCTGGAAGTGATGTACTGGAACAAGTGAAGTACAGTACCTGGAAGTGATGTACTGGAACAAGTGAGGTACAGTACCTGGAAGTAATGTACTGGAACAAGTGAAGTACAGTACCTGGAAGTGATGTACTGGAACAAGTGAGGTACAGTACCTGGAAGTGATGTACTGGAACAAGTGAGGTATGTTTTATTAACTAAGGTAACGTTAGGTTAGGTAAGGTTCATCTGGAAACAGGATAAGTGTTTCCTGACGCCGGTCTTAGTCATTTGATGACTCGCCGTTGGAGCTTTCGGTCATTTGACCGAAGCCTTCCGCTGGCTTGCCTGTCCACCCCTTTTAAAATGATCATATCGTGTGTACAGAGAAAAGTGGAAAAAGGAAAGAATGGGACAAGGAAACAAGCATTTTTAATTCGTTTAATTGATGCTATTGTTTAATGATACATTTTTGTGTTGAACTGGAATATATCTTTTTTTTTCAAATCGCAGAACGGGTGGGGATCGATCCCATGGTAGGGAAGTGGTAAAACTCACAGGTCAGTGTGTTAACCACTGAACCAGCTGACCAGCTGTTACAGTATCGTGAGTCATATCGATATATCAAATATTCGTTTTTCGTTTAAATTATCATATATTTCCCACTGCTACACTGAACTTTCAGTTTATCTCGCTTCAGATCACCAGCATCTCTCCCAGCATCCCCCACTTCAACCCAGAATCTCTTAATCTTCCTAATTAACCGATGTTTAGCCTCGTATTGGCATCTCCATTTACATAGCTCTCTTGCCCCTAATGTTGTAAACTCAGGCAGATGTTACACATGTGTCTTATTCATCACATCCTCACCCCATTATTTCTCTTCTGTTACTCCAGCTTCAGCGTATTCTTTCTCATCACGATGTTGTATCTGCAGGGATCTTTATTCCTTATTTGATACATCTGCAAGGTTCTTAACCAGCTTCCACATTGTTCCTGATCAGTTTCACACGTATTATATTTACATGTTTCCTGATCAGTTTAGAATTTGAATATTACATTTTCAGGGTTTATCATCAACTTCATCTCTCAGCCAGTCATCAGTGGGTTCACCTCAGCTGCAGCTATCATCATAGCTTCGTCCCAGCTTAAGCTACTGTTTGGTCTTCGTCTCAAGACCAAAGGGCTGATCGACACTTGGGTGAAAGTCTTCTCAAATATCCAAGATTTACGATGGCAGGACCTCACACTCGGCCTCATCTGCATTGTCGTCCTCTTCCTCCTGAAGGTAAGATGGCAGGACCTCACACTCGGCCTCATCTGCGTTGTCGTCCTCTTCCTCCTGAAGGTAAGATGGCAGGACCTCACACTCAGCCTCATCTGCACTGTCGTCCTCTTCCTCCTGAAGGTAAGATGGCGGGACCTCACACTCAGCCTCATCTGCACTGTCGTCCTCTTCCTCCTGAAGGTAAGATGGCAGGACCTCACACTCGGCCTCATCTGCACTGTCGTCCTCTTCCTCCTGAAGGTAAGATGGCAGGACCTCACACTCGGCCTCATCTGCACTGTCGTCCTCTTCCTCCTGAAGGTAAGATGGCAGGACCTCACACTCGGCCTCATCTGCACTGTCGTCCTCTTCCTCCTGAAGGTAAGATGGCAGGACCTCACACTCGGCCTCATCTGCACTGTCGTCCTCTTCCTCCTGAAGGTAAGAAGATCGTCGCATTATCTATGTTGTTTTAAGAATGTGAAATGACTTTTTTATTAGTGCTATACATCTAAATATCTACAGGTCCTCTTTTCTGGAACTCGTCTTTCTTGACGTTAAAGGTCTTTTTCAAGAAATATTTCTACTTCAGTGTAAGAAGGATATATTCAAGTCCTCGTTTTACCTCAGTGAAAATCTTGTGTGTTAATTACTGCAAGTTTTATCTTTTTTTTTTCTTTTAACCTTTGGTATTCTTAAAAATCTCCAAATTTTCTCCCTTACTAGAAGTGCTCAGTGATTACACAGGTTAAATCGTTCCTTAAATCTGGCGTCTGGTTTCCACAGGAACGTCCTGAAATCTTATATGTTATAACTTTGTTTTTTCTGGAAGCTTTTTTGTCTCCACTGAAAACTTCACTAAATATTATATGTTCATCAAATACACTTCCTGGTCACTCTTTGTGAGCTTCCCTCCTTCCTTCCTCGACCTGATTACCTGGTCCTTGACCAGGGGGGATATGATAACGACATATAAAATACTGAGAGGAATCGGCAGGGTGCACAGAGACAGGATGTTCCAGAGATTGGACACCGCAACAAGGGGTCACAGTTGGAAGTTGAAAACTCAGATGAATCACAGGGACATTAGGAAGTATTTCTTTAGTCACAGGGTTGTCAGGAAGTGGAATATTCTGGGAAGTGATATAGTGGAGGCAGGATCCATGCATAGCTTTAAGAAGAGGTATGATAAAGTTCATGGAGCAGGAAGTGTCACCCAGTAGCGGTCAGTGAAGAGGCGGGCCAGGAGCTATAACTCGACCCCTGCAACCATAACTAGGTGAGTAAACACACACACACACACAAGCACACACACACAGAAAAACCCACAGAACTGCCCTCAGAACCCTGCAGCCAAACACATTATCTCAACACAAACCACACTCACAACCCCCACCTCACAATACGCAGTAGAATCCAAGAACACCCTCCCAGGCCCCCAACACTCCCACACCCACAAATCCCCCAGAATTCAGTGTTGGAGAGGAAACTGAAGATGTGGTACACCAGCACTGGTATAACGAACAAGTTATATCATGCTATGATGTCAACAGACATCAAAGAACTTACAGAAGTCAAGCTCACAGGAATGATAATAAACGCCATCTTTCCAACTGGATATCAGATCATGAGGAAAGACATTGTGAATGGGGTGGGAGGGAATGGAGGAGCGGAACTGCTCATCAATAACCAATGGGATTTTGGGGAGCTGGAGAGAGGTGACAGATAATAGGAACACAGACTGAAGGTCCCAAGGTGGTCATTGCAATGATGTATAACCCACCACAGAATAGCAGGAAGCCAAGACAAGAATATGATGAAAGTAACAGAGAGATGGTTGACACACTGGACGAAATAGCAAGATGTGCCCATGGGGGCAGGGCAAAGCTACTAGTTGTGTGTGACTTCAATCACAAAGAAATCGATTGGGAAAACCTGGAGCCACATTAGGGCCCAGAAACAGAGAGAGCTAAGATGTTTACCTGGGGTTTACCTGGAGAGAGTTCCGGGGGTCAACGCCCTCGCAGACCGGTCTGTGACCAGGCCTCCTGGTGGATCAGAGCCTGATCAACCAGGCTGTTACTGCTGGCTGCATGCAATCCAACGTACGAGTCACAGCCCGGCTGGTCAGGTACCGACTTTAGGTGCTTGTCCACTGCCAGCTTGAAGACTGTCAGGGGTCTATTGGTAATCCCCCTTATGTATGCTGGGAGGCAGTTGAACAGTCTCGGGCCCCTGACACTTACTGTATTGTCTCTTAACGTGCTAGTGACACCCCTGCTTTTCATTAGGGGGATGTTGCATCGTCTGCCGAGCCTTTTGCTTTCGTAGTGAGTGATTTTCGTGTGCAAGTTCGGTACTAGTCCCTCTAGGATTTTCCAGGTGTATATAATCATGTATCTCTCCCGCCTGCGTTCCAGGGAATACAGGTTTAGGAACCTCAAGCGCTCCCAGTAATTGAGGTGTTTTATCTCAGTTATGCGCGCCGTCAAGGTTCTCTGTACATTTTCTAGGTCAACAATTTCACCTGCCTTGAAAGGTGCTGTTAGTGTGCAGCAATATTCCAGCCTAGATAGAACAAGTGACCTGAAGAGTGTCATCATGGGCTTGGCATCCCTAGTTTTGAAGGTTCTCATTATCCATCCTGTCATTTTTCTAGCAGATGCTATTAATACAATGTTATGGCCCTTGAAGATGAGATCCTCCGACATGATCACTCCCAGGTCTTTTACGTTGGTTTTTCGCTCTATTTTGTGACTAATCTCATTTTGTCGGTCTGGGGCTCCGCGCATACATGTCTGAACCTCGATTATGTTGTGATCTGAGTATATTGTTTTTGATATGGTGACATTTCGTATCAGATCATCATTGTTAGTGAAGATGAGGTCTAGTGTATTCTCCAGTCTAGTAGGCTCTATTATTTGCTGGTTTAAGTTGAATTTTGTGCAGAGATTTAAAAGCTCGTGTGTGTGTGTGTGAGAGAGTTCTCGTCAGAGCTGCCTCCTGGTGTTATCACTGCAACAACATTATTTGCTATATTCCTCCATTTTAGATGCCTCAAGTTGAAATCCCCCAGGAGCAAGATGTTGGGGGCAGGAGCTGGCAGATTTTCCAGACAGTGGTCAATTTTTGACAGCTGTTTCTGGAATTGCTGAGACGTTGCATCCGGAGGCTTGTAGACTACCACAATGACTAGGTTTTGGTTCTCGATCTTTACTGCTAAAACTTCCACTACAACATTTGAGGCATTAAGCAGTTTTGTGCAAACAAGTGACTCTGCGATATACAGGCCAATCACCCCAACCCCCCTTTTGCCTGTTCACTGTGACATCTGTATAGGTTATAACCTGGGATCCATTTTTAGTAGTCCAATTGAATCTTTTTGTGGGTCTCTGAAAGCCGCGAACATTGCCTTTGCCTCTGCAAGCAGTCCACCGATGAAAGGTCTTTTGTTGTTCGTTGCTGGATTTAGACCCTGTATATTTGCAAAGAAGAATGTCATCGGACTGGTGGTATTGGGGGCACTGGGGGGTACTTTTTTTTCCGGCACTAGTATCTGGTTTGGAGTGGAGGCCATCGACTGTGGTTTCACTCCAGAAATGACTTGATTTGGCGTACGATTTCCGCCATTTCCTGCCAGTTTTTTTTCCTTCCTGGCACTAAAAAACCTCTCCCTCTTGAGTGGCTGTGGCTACCCAGGCTTTCCCATGGCCTGGATGTTTTGTATCTTTTTGTCGCCTTTAGATGGTGTGCCTGGCAATTTAAGTTATAGCACAGTCTTTCCTGTACTGAAGAGAGACACATTTCAGGGTGAAAAAGCTTACAGGAAGGGAGTTTGCATTTTTCTGTTGTCATATGAGTACGGCATTTTCTAGGGTAGTCAAAGTTGCACGTCCCATGTGTTTTTCCAGATTTCCCATGACTGCAGATACCAAGTGCATAGTATGTGCACAGGCTTGGTATCCGTTTGCCTTGGGTTTCTGTGACTGTATTCCCTGTTGGTGCATGTTTACCTGTCTCATTCCTATCCTTACTAGTACTAACAATGGAGCTCTCACCAGTTGCTTCTGGCAATATATCCTCACTATTGCTAGTGGAGTATCCCTGTTTGCTATCTCCTGTGGTATTACTAGTTTGTAATATTGGTTTTATGATGAAAATAAGTGGTATAAAATACCGACACTATGGAAACATAAACACATATGCAGACGGCGGGCATTAAACATCTTCAACACACCCAGAGAAGACACTGCCGAGAAGAGATACATAGTCCTCCCCACCAACTCCATTGCCAAACATGTTTCCAACATCTTTTCCAATACATCATTCCAAGTATCTACCTCTACAACCACGACCATCAAGGACATCACCAGTAGTAGACAGGACAAGCTTCCATCCTCTGCAGGGGTATACATAATCCCTTGTAATGGCTGCAACAAATTATATGTGGGCGAAACATCAAGAGACCTCCAAACACGTATTTCAGAACACCAATACGCAAGCAGGACTGACGATACAAGGAATGCCTGTGTACAACATCGCAATTCACACAACCATTTAATCAACTACAGAAACTCAAGACTTATCGCCACAGAAGACAACACTCAATACAGAAGAATCCTGGAATCATCGCTTATCTCTATAACCAACAATTTCAACCAGAACAATGGCTTCTATAACATAGCTGAACCACTTGCCAAGAAACTTCTTCATCGCTATCCCACAAAAGAACATAGAACACTGCAGAAGGTCTACTCACAACTTGTCCAATACCCCTGCCAAGCTACCCAAGACTCTAAAATCCCACCCAGTGGATCCTCAGATGCAGCATTCTCCACCTGACCTCAACATTCTGACTATAAATACTCCCGTACCTTCCACCCCAAGTAGATCTGTTTGTGACTTGAAAAAGCCCACTGTGTGGGCGAAACGTTGTCAATAAAGGATCACATTAAACTGCATATGTGTATGTTTCCAATATTGGTTTTATCTCGTACTTGACTACACTTGTTTCCCCACTA